GAGTGGGATGGATTAAGGCTTCCCTCCCCAGGAATATTAATGTAAAGCATAACCGTGTATTTCAAGAGCTAGTGTTGCAGCAAGTATCTTTTTTTTTTTTTTTTTTTTTAGGAGTTTATGTACTGTAGATGGGCGTTTTCAGTTTGGAAAAAGTTGTTCTGTGAGAAGAAGTTACTCAAGCTTGGTTTCCTGTATACGTGCCCCTTGCCCTTTTTGGTACCCCATCAGAAGAGAGAGATGCCTGCTGGCTGGCCAACAAGCTGCTGCCAGATGGAATATATAAAATCCAAGTTAGGTTTGCCTTCTTGTCAGTGACAGTGCTAATTTGGGTCTCTAACCATCAATCAGCGTCAGCTGTTTTTGAAGCTTGGAGAAACATCATTTTGAGAATGCAGTCTCAGTAAGATTTGTTTGGGATTGTCTGGCAGTTGAAAAAGGCATGGTAGATGGGAACTGGTACAAACATTGTAATTGAGTTTTCTTAGAAAACCAAGTAAAAGGTCTGATGCTATTAAATATTGTTAAAATTTACTACAGTTTGTTTCAGTAATAGGAATTAAATTACTAGACACCACTGTTGTCTACAAATAGAACAAAAAAAGTTATTTGAGATTATTTAGATTATAATGCTGATGAAAATTCAGCGATAAAACATAGTGTCTAGTAACTCTGTTTCCACTTTCCCTTACTGACTTTTTAGAGAGCTGCTAGGCCCTTTTGTAGTATTTGATGATAGTTTCCTGTATTCCCTGATAAAAAAAAATATTTGGTTACAAGCAGAAAGTACAACATAATCCTTCCATCCATTACTGAAAATATATATAAAATGGTTTTGTTGCTTCTCCAAATATACGGTTGGTTGGTTGGTTGGGTTTTTTTCTCAGTGATGTAGTGTTTTGTCTAAATCACCATAAAAATATCGCAGAAGATAAGTATTCTGGAATTCCTTATCTGTTCTGCAGCCAGGTCCTGTTCCTTTCTTCCTCCAAATTATATTGTAAATGAGGTTGGTGTGAATGGATTTGTGGTGTTTCTCTTTTTGACCACTTCAGGTTCGCCAAGAAGCACTGCAGACACTGTGCTTTGCCCCTCCCTCTGATATACTGAATTCTGAGAGTTGGCCAATTCTGCGTAAGCATCTAACGATGTCTCTGTCAGATCCTGATGCAACATTCAGTGTAAGCTAAAGTTCTGTATTTAGTTATCAGATTTGTAGCCTTAGGAAAGAATACTGAAGAGGAATAAGAAGTTACTTATGTATCACGAGTAATCCAGCAGGGTACCAAGACATTTTATGATTTGTGTATGTATCAGATAAACTCTTTTTGAAGTAAAAGAACTATATGACTCTAGTAGGTCTTAGTTTAAAGGATTACAACAGGATTTCAATAGGACTTTGAGAGACTGGAGTACTCATTTACATATCTTTTAATGGAAATGAAGAAGTTTGAATATCTTTTAGCAGACAGATTTAAAAAAAAATTTTGAACTCTGCTGTCGTATTAATATTTCCTATTTAAGTCAAATATATGCTCCATGATGATGAGAAAATGATACATACTAATATTACACAGGCACTGATGAGGAAAAGGAAATGGCGGCTGCTTAAACTGCTTTTAGATTATTTATTATGCCAATTAAGCCTTTTTAATTTTTATTTTTCTTTGAATTTTAAAGTGATTATCAAATAAATGTGAGAGTTGCCCCAGCTGCTGTTACATATTTCTCTTTCAGTGTAGAAGGTCTACACTTTCTTTTGAAACAGTGCTAGTTACAAGTCATTGGTATGTTTAATGACATAAAGTACAGTAGTATTCCTGGATCTACTTCTTTCTATCTCAGTGAGGTTTTGCATTGGTGCTGTCAGTTAAAGTATTCAAGTATTCTTTCGGACTGTAGGTTTCTGTGGTCCCAAACTGTATGTTTTTATCAAATGTGCTTTGCCTTTGTAGAGGTACCTGAGCACTATGTAATATTAAGAATAATGCCACTACATAGTGATTACTGTGCAATAATAATACACAGTTACGTGGATATTTAATACATTGCTTGCCTTTTCTCCCTTAGGAGAAAGTTCTTAGGTTCTATGCAAAAACCTTTTCTTCTTCTCCATTTAATGTGACAAGAGAAGTCTATACAAGTTTAGGTATGTGCATTTAATTACATTTAAGACTTAATGAGTCAGCTACTTCTTAACTTTTATAATGAAGCTGTATAATATAATCTGTTTTGACACTATTGTTATAGAGGTGAGGTTTTTTTTTTCTTCTTTTTTAGCAAAACACTTGGAGTTGTACTTTCTTTCTGGAGAATATTCTCTTCGTATTTCAGCTGGTCTGGATGTATCTAACACAGACATAAATCGTTTACTGAAAAAGGTATAAATGAACTTTCAATAACTTTTTTGTCATTACTGAAGCATCACACATTATTTATTTTTTAATTTTAATAATTATGTTTTCAGGTCCGCCTTTTAAATGAGTACCAAAAGGAAGCTCCCTCTTCCTGGATTCGTCATCCAGAAAAGTATGTCACCCTTAAAAACCTGTCACTGTTTCTTAATTTAATGATTTTTGACATATAATCAGATGCATGTAATTTTAGCAAAAGGTTGATTACAGGATGCACAGGTGACTGGTCAGTGATAAGAGGGGAATATAAATAGAGGTTGGGAATATAAATAGAGGGTGGGAAAAGTGGAATTGAGAAGTTGCATAGGAGTAGTCATGGGTCATATTAAGCTGCTTACTTAGCTTTTGAAGTGTTCTAAGTGCTTTTTAACAAAAATTATTTGGATGTTTTACAAAGTAACAAGGGCAATAAAATATGTAATCATGTAGAAGAATCATGTATGTTGTTAGTTTTATTTATGGTAATACAAAGAATTAATATCCTTACAAGATCAAGTTAAAGATACTGTTGTTGGTATTTATGATTTATCTGAATAATGAGATTTTACCAAAAATTTGTTCCTGAGTATTAGTGATGGGAATATTTAAGGATTTTTGCTTTCTATTAATCTTTTTCCTGTTTGTGTCATAAGGTACATGGAAGAAGTAGTGGAGAGTACCTTGTCACTTTTGTCAGTAAAACGTGAGCCTAATCATCCTGCCTCTCCAGATTTTTTGAGTCCAGTCTACTTCTTGGCACTGCTAGATATCAAAGCAGTATGGTTTAAAAAGTGGACGGTAAGCAAAAAAAAACCCAGCCCAACAGCTGGTAACTTGTTCATGTCTGACATGTATTTTGAAAAGTTTGATTTATGACTGTTGTTATCACACACCTATTGTGACCTGATAATCACCTATAATGAGCACTGTAATTAAGGAAGTCTGGGTTTTTTTTCTTTTTAGGCTTTAAAGTCCTTTACCCTTTAATGCTACTCTCTCCCTCCATTTCTATTCAGTTACTAGTATTCATAAAATTTCTGAGAACTTACTGTGCTTTGGACTTAATTCCGCTTGTCATAATTGACTGGCAACTATTAAAAGATGCAAATATTTTTCTGTAAGAAGTGATGAGCATCAAAGTACAGTTGTATATATGATATGGTGCATGCAACTTGCTAACCTCCAGTGGATATTAGAGCTTTTTGCAGCCTACCATGTATACACTTATAATTTAGGATTTACATGGCAATGTCAAAATGTGTAGTCTAATATTTCAGCATTGTTTTTCTGTTTATTGCATGTTTTGGCACACATTTTTCTAATGACATAATTTTTTTTTTCCATCTTAAATGTACTGCAAACAAAAGGCTCAGCTGAGTATACTAGTGGTTTACACAAGCTGGAGTTCAATACATTGAATACGTACTGTGCACAGGATCCCTAATAGAACAGAATTGGAGATAATTTGTACTTTGTAATTAAAAATAAAACTTATGTGTTTTATGTTTATTATTCTTTGTCATTTTAGCATGCATATTACAGCAGAGCAGTCATACTTAGGCTTCTGGAAAAGAAGTATAAATCTTTGGTAAGTATTTCCCAAGGCAAATTTACTTGGAATTTGTTCTCACTTTGCACATTGTGTTTTGAGCACTTTTTTTCCTTTTTTCCCTTTTGTCAGAGCTGTTCCATGTTGTTTAGCTAGATCAGCCTTTTTGATTTAAATTTTTTAAAAATTTCTCTTTGCTTAAATGAATCATTTTTAAATGCAAAGAAGGATATGCAGCCAGCTCTGAGTAAGGGGAAATTTGGATGTGTTATAGCAGGTGTTTAATTAGGATTATTATTTATTAGTTCCTTGTTTTGCATTCATATTTAGAATTATTTCTGACAAAGTATAAAAAAAAAGCAAATGGTGCATGAAAAAATATTGTAAAAACTGTGCTGAATTTGTTTTTTTGATGGAAAGAGACAAAAAAACTACCGTTGTTTTCTTCAAGTTGTGATATGAAGCATTAAGGATTCAAAGTGTCAGCAAAATAAATCAAACTAGGAGAAAATCTTTAGTAATTCAGGTGTTAATCCTATCACATATTTGGTATGGGCAGATCTCTGGGTAGAAGTTTTATTGTTTTCACTAAAACCCATATAGATTTGAGATGTATTCATATAGACAGGACTTTGGCTACATTTTATAAAATCTTGTAAAGAAATTAAATATAATGTAAAATATATGTGACAGATAAAACCTTGAGATGGGAGACAAGGATACGGACAACTATAAAATACGTTTGTCTTGTTCGTCTGTACGCATAGAACAGAGCATAGCATAAAGCGTGTTCCATGCAACAAAAAATGTTTAGTAGGAAGTCCATGAGCTGGGTAGTCTAATTTATAAGCATAAAGATCCGATTGAGTATTTTTTTATTACGTATGTCTGTGTGTTTTACTTATATTTCTGACTAAATCTTAGAAGCTCCAAACTTTAATAAATCCAAATGTACTTCTTTGTTCATATGATATATTTGTGATTAATTTCTAATTCCATGTTGATAATTTTCAGACTTACATACATTGATTAGGTGGTAATGCTATGATAATGATACAGCACTTCTGCAAAGAACAGTAATAGCACTGAAAGCACCTGACAACCAAACTTGCAGTTTATTAAGTGTATTCAAGACAAAGTTTTTCACAGGCAGAAAATGAAAATCTTCCATAGTAATGAGAATATGGCAATCACACATTGCCATTAACTTCCCAAAATACTTGCATGTTCTCTGTACTCTCTTTCATACATTGTCTTGATGCTTACAGAGATGTATGATAGTGTAATAATAATGGCAGTGTGTTTTAATAGTCCTGTAGAGTTTTGCCTCCCATTGGTTAACCCATTCAAAACACTGAAACGAGGTAATTGCAGTGAAGTGGGTATTTAGGTTCTTGTGTTAAAGGACAGTACTTGGATACAAGAGAGAATTACTTTATTGTAAAATACTAGGGATTTTATTGTTTTGTGCTTTTTTCCACAGATTAATGCAGCTGTCCAGCAATGTCTTGATTATTTTGAGTTTTGCAAGGCAGCAGTTAATAAAAATTACAGAGTAAATGACTTCTCCCAGCAGCGTTGTAGTGAGTATCTTGCATTATATGCACATATATCGGCATTCTCGATGTCTTTGAGCATGCTATCTCAAGAGGAAGACATTCTATTTTTTTCCCCAAAGTGTTATATATGTGTTTTGAGAGAACACTGATAGCACTGGTTAGTTACTTAAGCTGTCTCTCTTTATATACAAAGTGATCCGTGTACATTGCAGGTAGCAGCTAGGTGCTGTAGAGTAAGCTAAAAGAGTCAAGTTCTAATTTTTTTGTTTTATTATTAAAGGTGATAAGGAGAACTTTTTTTACACTGGACCCGAATTGCAGTACGTCAGTTTTGTTCATTCACTGTGCCTTTTGGGAAGGCTGTTGATCTATAAGCAAGGCCGAAATCTCTTTCCAGTACAGCTGAAGAATAAAAAAGGTAAGGGGAGGGCTAATGAAAATGTTGAGCAACACTTTATCTGTTCTTGATATATGTTTCCACTGCAATATTGTGGACATTATAGGACAGTACTCTGTTCAGAATTTCTGTGCCTGGAAACCTTTCTTGAAAGATGGTATAGGTAATTTTGAGCGTGAACACAGTTTTTTAATCTTTGATGGTTTTTATCCTTACGTTTAATATATTAATTTAATGTTGGAGAGTTGGATCAGTGTGTAAGTGATTCTAGGTACGAGTAATATCTTTTGTCAAACCAGTTGATGTAATTGGTTGGAAGAGAAACATGTCCAGGGACCAAAAATGTTTTTTAAGTGTGAAACAAAATCAGTGTTTCAAGCTAATTGCAAGTTTAAAACAATTGCTCTGAGCTTGACCTATTAATATAATTAAGGCAAAACAATGGTAAAGGAAAAGATTGGTATCTGTGGAACAGAAAGATTAGTAAGGACAGAAGATATGAGATGGAAGAGCCCTTAGACGTCCAGAGAAATCTGCATATGGTAATGCATTGCGCAGGGTTGGCAAATGCAAGTGTGTGAGAACAATTGCAGTGTTCCATTACATTAATATCTTTATTAATTCAGTGTAGAATTCAAAACATTACTGGATACTAATTCTGAGACTTGTCGCTCTGATTTGAGGATCAGGACTTAATAGATCCAGTGTAGAGCAGCTGTGAGGAAGAAACATCTGCTAATCAAGTGCTTTTGTCATTTATGGATTATCTGTATAACTCCATTCAAGCAGTGATCCATTCGTGATGGTTGATTCTTTCTCTCCCCTACAAAAGTAACAATTTCACTGTCTGTCTTCTTGATAATGTCCTCAGCTTCATAGATAGCAACCCTTTCCTCACGAATTGTCTTACTTATTGACATAATTACATTAAACTTGGAGCAATAGTTCCCAACCTGCATTTAGCTACATGTTGTTTCTGTTTCAGACCTGAGGAATAGTTGCCTGATAGCTTGTCTCTTTTCCAGTTGTTTCACTTAAGCTAACAGCGAGGTAATGCTTTTTCCTATAGCCATGTATATTCAGCATTCTCAAACTTTGTCTGGCATTTATTTCAATGGAAGACATGGTAAAATTGCAATTGGCTAAATTGGGAGCAAGATCAAGCCTTATAAGCTGATGACGAAATACCTTGGTAAAGTCGCAGGGTCATGCATATCTTTTGCTTTATCAGTTGTACACACATTGATTTCCTCAACAAAGCAAAACATTGTTTACACATATTTACAAAATACTTTTTATTTGTAAAATTAAAGTAATTAAAGTTGTACTTGAATTTGCAGAGTACTTTCCTTTTTTTTTTTTTTTTGTTTTAATAGATGGTGTATCCATAACCAATCTGTTGGTATTATTTACTCAGCTTATTTATTACTCTCCAAATTACCCAAAGACAGCTTTGGCAGCAGATAGAGGTAAATGTTTGTTTTTATATATGCTGATATATATAATTATAATGTGGTAACTTCTTACCAATTTTTAATTTTGGTCTGTTATTTGTGCACATTTTTCTCTTCCCTTCCTCCCTTGCCTTTCTTTCTTCCCTGTAACTGTGTTAAATTAGTGTTTAACAAAATTATAATTCAGAAGCCTCTACATAAGCCATATAAACATGTTTGTGTAAGTCTAAATATAAACAAATACTTCTTGTGTTCACCAGACAATTATTCTCCAACGAGGCTTGTTATGGAGATTCTGCAAGTTTTTTGTGATCAAACAGGATGCGCTGCTGAATGTTTATATACAGATGCAGTGATAGATGCCCTACTTCATCCTGTTCGGAGTTTACTGAGTGGCACAGAGGTTTGTAGTAATCTTCCAAATAATTTTCAATTCTATAGAATATTATAATTTTTTCTTTATTTTCTATGTAGAAGATTTATTTAGTAACATGGTAACTTCTGTAGTATTTTCTACATTAGCTGTTATATATGCCCTAAATAGTATAGGCAGGCATTATGATTGATCTGACAAACTTCATTTTCTTGAAATCTCATGAATAGTAGCAAGAATCATACTGTAGTGAGACTTCCCTTGGGAAAGTTACAGCATTTAATTTTTTTTTTCTTCCAATGTTTTTGTGTGTCTTTTGGATATTTCTTGGATGCTTATTTGCTCTACCTGCTATTTAAAAGGCAACCTACTTTTATTCCTTTTCAAATGTAGCTGGCAACTTGAAGTTGAGTGTTCTCAATAATAGTATAAGTAAAATGTGTAATTCTTCATTAAAAATTATTGAATTGATGAAACAAAGAGTTTGTTTTGTTTTTTAACATTTCTATAAGAATCGTAAAAATCTTGGGTAACACTTTTTCTATCTGTAGGTATTTGAAAGTCTTGTTATAGTTTCAGCCTGTCCTATTGGTTTTTTTTTTGATTGGGATGATTTAATTGTTCTAGGTGACTGTAAGTCTCAAGACAGAGGCTAAGGGTCTGAAATGCCCATTGGTGGAGCCTGAGCTGTTTTCCATAAAGAGACTTTGAGATAAATTAATGGCTGAGAAGTTTTGAATTTACTTCCTGAGACTCATGATTACAAAGACAGTTTGGGTTCCCAACTTAAATACCTTGTTTAGGTTCTTAAAGTTGAATGTTCTCAGTCTCCTTCTGATGATTTTTTCTGTGCAGTTTGTTTATTTTTCAGAAAAGACTCTTCATATTAGTTCCTGAAAATACTTTTACCTATACAAAAATATCCCAATGCTATTTCAAAATGGTAAACAATCTGTTTCTAAACTATTTTAAAGTATGTATTTCTGTAAAGCTTAAAACCATAGTCCTGCAGAAACTTCATCATGTCAATAATTTAGCTCTTCTGTGGGTATCTGTACTGAGAACAGTAGCATTACTTACACATGTTATTTTAAGGCTATCTATGGATGCTTTTGCAAGATTAACACTTTAAGTTGTCTTGTTTTTACTGTACATTGCAAAAATATAGTGCAAATTTTTTCCAGTACAAAAAATGACTGAGCCTGCATGTGCTTTGAACACTGATGGTCGAATTTAAAGACAGTACTAAGGCAATAAAGTAATTGATTTTCTGTGATGGAGGCCTGTGCAATCCCCCAGGGAATCTCTATGGTCATATGGAATTCTAGATAATATATAACTGTCTCTCTTCTTTGTTATACATTAGTAATTAAAAAAGAAATTATCTCTGATAAAGAGGCTGATGCGTTCTTCAGTTTAGCCTGCAAAAACTGAATCCCTTGTAGTCTGCCAAAGGCAAGTCACAGAGCTGCAGAAAGTAGCAGCAGGAAAAAAATCCCTGCTTCCTGAAGAGCAAGAACGTGAAGAATGAGGGTCAGGACTGACCACGCACAAAAGAAGAAGATGGAAGGGTGTGTGGTACCATGGGCTATTTTCCAAAGTATGACACGTATTGATGACAAGCATACTTTTTACCTTCCAAAACTTGCTCCAGCACTGTGCATCTTGGCTAGTGATTCATGAAGAGAGCTCTCGTGCCTGCCTGGTGCTTGTATTGCACTCCGGGAGAGCTGGAGAATGGCAGCTCCTGATGGTGCAGCAAGCCTGGAGCACTTCCAAGTACAGGCTGTTTGCACAAGCAAGAACCTCTGGGGTGATGGAAGGAAGGTAAGAGCAGAGCTCATGCCCACTCCAAACTTGCCCTGGGCAAGAGAGCCCGAGAGAGCCGGGGCGTGCATGGCACCTTGAAAGTGCAAGAGCAGCAGGCAAGAACGGAGCCAAAAGGGCCCAGAGGAGCCCTGACAAGGGGCTGTGCTCAATGCTACAGAGGATAAGAAGCAACTCCCAGGGGCCACCCTTGGGGCTCGCCCTGGGAGTCTGGAAATCTTCCTCCCCCTTGATGCAGGGCACAAGGGCCAACTTCGTGGAGCACAAGCAGCAGGCACCTAGCCAAACTGGCCCAAAGGAGACCTGGCAAGGGGCCGTGCTCAGTGCTGCAGTGGAACGCAAAAAACCCCCAGAGACACTTGCTAGCGCCTTGTGGGGGAATAAAAGCCTTCCTCCCCCCAGCTGCAGGGCAGGAGAGGCCATCTTTGTGGTGCATGAGCAGCTGGCAGTAACCTAGCCAATATGGACAGGAGGAGCCCTGACAAGTGGTCATACTTGGTGCTACAAAGGAAGGCAAAGAACCCCTGGTGACCAGTGCCAATCTGCCCTGGGGGAAAATTCCTTCCTGAACCCGGCACTGGCAATCAGCTATTCTGTGAGCACACGAGCAAGACCTGCCTCCTCATCCCGCAGGCTGGTCACACCTCCCAGGAATTTTCCCTGTCACTTGGCTCCCAGGGACAAACCTTGTGCTGTTACTCGTCTCTCAGGCCATGGCACAAACCAAGCCTGAATCCCAGAGACCACCCCTATTAGCCGTCCCCTCTCTGCGCCAGAGTTAACCTCCATGAGGCCACCTGGAGAGGAGGACCAGGGACACAAAGCAGGATGTGACTCCTGTTATCCTCCTGTGACTTAGTAACTGGTCAGTTTAAAAAAACAGGTTATGTTCAGGAATATTTAATGCACAGTAGCTGTGGTAGGTTGGTTATGTGTTTTGAATTTGAATCTGGAATATGTCCTATTTGTTCTAACAAAGGTGTAAATTGTTTTGTACTGCATTTTTTCTGCATAGCTAGAAAAGGTAAACCAGGTCAGAGTGACCCTCTCCCTCTTTTACAAGAATTTGAACTTTTTTTTACTTCCTAACCAAACCATTGGCACTTCTTAGGCACTCAGGAATCCTAATGCTGGACCATGCCTGTCTCAAAAGGAAGGTGATGGCCATGCATGCATCTTTCTTCAGCAGGGATTTGGGGGTGGGTAGCACTGAAGCTGCATATGGGGGTCCCTGGTTGTACGGTGGGCCTAATGAGCAAACACAATGTTATTTTACATTTGAGCTCTGAATTCACTTAAATAAGTGCAAGCCTTACTTGCCTTTTAAATAGAGTAGTATTCTGTATCTGTAGTAGAGGGGGGAGGAGAAACTTGGTGGCTATGAGCAGGAGTTGTCAGAAGAATTGGTTTGTGGGCAGCAGTATTGAGCTTTTGGGCCCTGAGGCCTCTTGAGTTGCTGCTGAAACATCGCAGAACATTGCATTCACATTTTAAATAAACAAAGTACTGTGTTTTGTTTTGTTTTGTTTTGTTTTTGTTGTTGCACAGGGAAAGCAAAATAATAACACTCTTCTGAAGAAACAGTGATAGCACAGTATGTTCCTTTCTTAGATTCCTGAGCGATGATACCTAGTAAACCAAAAATAAAAGGTTGGGGAGATTTTTGATCCTTTGTATCACTGAAAATTTTAACTGAAAAGCCAAAGTCAAAATTGTGTTTTTCTCTTGGGTTACTTTGACCACCGGCAATAACAATAAAATCCTTAAATTTAAAGTTAGGTAGACTGTATATTTTTCCTCTGTGCACTATATATAGAGGTACTTGTAAGAGAAGAAGCAGGAGCTGGATTGCATAGGATTTTTAAAAATCATTTCTCCTGTGAGTCTGGCTGTCCTTGATGAATAGCAGAAGAGTAGAAGAGATCTAAGCAGTGGACTTCAGCTTCAGGGGAGTGGTGCTTTATTCCCCGTTCTGACGTACTAGATATTTAACAAGTGTTACTGGGAACAGTAATCCTCCCCAGCTCATCTCTGCCTAACATTCAGCACTGTTGACGCTGCTCTGTTGTACCAGGTGTGGAGAGGGGGAAGCAACCAAAGGGGACTTCTCACTTTGAAAACTATCCTTCTTTGTTAGTGTGTTTATGCATAAATCCTAGGAATCTGGAGTGTTTCTCTGTCCCTGGGTGAGGTGGTGTGCTCTAGCTATCTCATGACTGCATTATTGAGCGATATGGACAGGAATAGAGTTTCGGTGAGCACCTTTAGGACACTGCGTAAATCCTGCAGAATTACAGCTACCATCTACTGTCAGGCCTTTGGCACATCCCACTGCTTCCCTTCCCCTGGTCTTGGCAGCCTGGGATCAGTGCCAGCATAGGTAATGATGTGGGTGCCCGGCCTTGAAGAGAGCTGTTTGAGAAAGCTCAGCTAGGACACCTCAGCAGAGATCCCTCCAGCAATGACTCTGATAATAAGCCTCAGTGTGGACTCACTCCACCTTTCACTCAGGAGTGTTTTTTAAGATGAGGTTCTTGTCCTCATTCCCTGAAGCCTAGGCATTGAAGCCTTGACTCACAGACATGATTTCTTGGCTTGCTTCACCTCCAGCCTGCCTTGTCACTATAAATCCAGTTGCAGGGTGGTCAGTGGGCTGCATCTGAGCCCGGTTACTGTGTCTGGAGCTGACCCTGACTCGCTGACTTGGCTTCTTGATTTAACCTTGGACTTCCCTCACCACTGCGAAGGGCACCTGGACTGTTGGGTGGACCTGGTTACTCTCACTGGACCTTGTCTGCTCGCCTTGCTTGTGTATGGTCGGGCTGCCCATCTGATGGCGAGGCATTGCCTCTGCCTGCCTCGTTATGATGCTCAGCTCCTGGCTTCTTGTCCCTTAAAGGGCATCCTGCCCTTGATGCTCCCTGGCAGGTTCTTTGTGGAACACACCATATTCTGAGTGTCTACCATTGGAATATTGACTTCACTTATTAATGAGCAATGGTCAATTTAACATTAATTTGGGCATTAGTGATGGTACCAGACCAAACAGTCTGAATCCTAGTGTTAAATATTCAAGTCTGCTTGATACAGCCTACTTGTGCCTATACGGTGTTCTGAAGTGAATTAGGAATTGGTAGATGACTTTTGCTTTGCTCCGGTGGGGAAGACTTTCCTTATGATTCCAAAGCAAATGGCTGTTTGTGCCTACTGCAGCCTTGAAATGAGGTGGATGCAGAAGATCTTGGGAACTGGAGTTCCATTTGTAGCCGAAGAGTTGCCAGTGCATATGCAGCAATGATAGAGTTACCATGTTTCTCACCTTGATTCAGGTATTGTTCTTATACCCCTAGGTGGCATATCAAGAGCCTCTCCACATTTATGGTGGGAAAAGATAAAAAGGAGTTTAGAAATGTCTGTTCTCAATATCTGTGCAGTCATTGGACTTCTGCCATAATCATTAAAAGTAACAGTTACTGCCATTTGTGATGAAGATTTCTATGTGATGGCGTTTGAACATAGGCTCTTCCCTGATTTTGTTTTAGCCATTAAGCAGTCATCAGAAAGGTGACCTTCAGGTTCTACGTACATAAGCCAGACTTGAATAAACAGCTTTCACAAAAGCATTGAATTTTAAACTTGTTTTCTTTTTATCTCTTTTTTCTTCCAAATAGGTGCATATAAGGTGTCTTGAAACCACTTTAATTGATGTAGCTGATATTTTGGGAAGGATTGCTGCTGTAGAAGATGGTCTTTCTCTTCTTCTTTATGGAGAAAATGAAAAAAATGCGAAAGAAGATAGGTAAGAGTGCATTAATGAATAGCATTAGTGAGTACTTTAATGAATTACGTTAGTCTCATGAGGCTCATGAGATTCATTTTCTCTTTTTTCATTAATCTGTAATGTGATATGTTCTGTTTATGTTTGGAGAAAATATACTTGATTATCAAGTAAAGTAGGAAGTGTTTTAAAGAATGTATTAGGGAGATATTTATGTGTATCACCAAGTGAAATAGCAATTCAAAGAAATACTTTTATTAAGAGAGATGATTTACTTGTTTTTCTTATTCATGTTAGAGATTTCCTTTCTCCAGATGTAGTTCCAGTACGTTCGTAGTGCTACTGTTTAGTCAAAGGCCTTTCTTCTCTGTTTTTTGTTTGCTTGTTTTTAGAATATTAAAAATCAACCTAATTTATTGAAAGAATAGATTTAATGTAGCATTCACATTTCAATACATCTATTAGAGACAGATCTTGTATCAGAAGCTGACATTTGTAATACTGTACCTAACAGGATCTGTGTGACCTTATGGGTTATATATTGCTAGCTGATGCTAAAGCTTGAAACAGGGCAGTAAAATTGAGACTAGCCTTTAAAAATATCTAAGCTGCAGGTCATGAAAATAAGCCTAAAATCCTTAAGTACCAGTTATTTGGAATGTATGTCTTCTAAGTGCAGGAAGCTCAGAAGTTGTGTATGCTTTCAAGCGGAGTTAGAAGTGAAAGTATTTTGGAGAAATAATTGCCCTTTTGAAATACTAGGGCATGAGCAGTGAGGCCCTGAACCAAAGTTGACCTCTAGATGAACCTCACGAGCTAACAATATATCTAATGTGTATACATATTGATTACATATGCAATGTATTACCTTATTAGTATATGCCAGTTTAAGCGTTACAACAAAACTTTTATATAGAGCATTGCTGTAACACTTGCTGTGTAAGGTTAGTCAGCAGAAAGATACTAATTGTGTAGCAGTAGCCAAAATTAAGCACAGATGTGCCCTGTCACCACAGATGGCAAAGGAATGTGGCAAGTTGTGACAAGCTTTGTTGAGAGATACATAATCAAGATTACTAGATTCTTTTGTTCTTGTTATCTCCCCGCTCCTGCCCCGGCCAGGCTTGAGATGGAAGTTAACAGGGAGAAAACCACACCAGATGTTTTGCGCAGGTTAAGATATAAAGTTGTTTATTCAACTGTATAAAAGTGGGGAACGTTTGCAGGGAAATTTGGAAGCCTCGGCTATACAGTGGATGCACTGTATAAAGATTTCCCAGTTGCTGGGAAGGGTTTTCCAAATCCTCACTGCAACCAGGGTCCCCAGCAACTGTGGATCTATATTACGGTAACGTATTAATAGGGCAATTGGTGATGTATCTTTCTTAATCACTATCGCTAACCCTATGTAGTAATGATTAGGTGCATTACCTTATTTTATGCTTGCTATAGTAGTTTGCTTATTATTTTGCTGCTTTACCTTATCTTGCTTTAATTTATTTTCACTGTATTATTTTCCTCATTATTTTATCACTTTAAACATAAGTAAAAATAAGTTTACTTCTTTAATTTGGTGCCTGTGTCCTTTGTGCTAACCCCGTCAATTGGCAAGACACCTTTGCACTGAGTACCTTTCTAGGTTCAGAAGGAGATCTTGGGTAGGAAAAAGGAAGAACAAATTTTGCCTTGTGGTGATATCCTTAACACTATTTAAGCAGAAGCTAAAATGATTATCTTGTTACTCTTCTCAACTGGACTCCTGTAGAGCACACAGTCTATGTAGTTCATAGCCACGTGGTCTGGATGGAAGACAATGGATGCATTTTTGCTTTATGTAGGCAAAGTAAAATCACTTGCTGTACATTTCTTTTCTTCTGGCTGGTGTTAGAAGTTATAATATCGTTGGGCCTCCATAGTGGGTCATAGTTTCTTTCCATAGTTTCTTTTCATCTAGAAAAAATTAAATAAGCTCAGGCAGAGGACTTGTTTCAAGGTTTATTGATGACTACAAACCAACATTTTAAAAGTGTTATTTTATTTCTAGTCCTGCAGCTGTTCATGTAATTGTTCAGTTTACAAAGAAGCTTCTTCAAGATGACATTTGTCTTTTATCTGGATCCGAGCTTTTGCCAGTTGTTAAAGGAGCTTTCATTTTTGTATGTCGTCAGATGTACAGAACTTGTGAAGGCCTGCAGATGCTCATTCCTTATCGCTTGCATGAATCTATCGGAGAGGCCTGGAAAAAGGTAAGTCTTGCTTGGGATTGGGAAGATTAGGAAAAAATCTTACTGTAAGAGGTTCGGCTTATGTAATAGTTGTTCTTTGCTTCAGGTTATTTACATTTAAGTAGTGAGATAATGCTTGAATTGTTCTAAAGATGAAGTTCTACTGTTCAAATTTTCCTTCTGTATGTGAACCTTGCAGAAGCTTAGTTTGAGACTTCTGTGCCTTAAGATTAAACCAGGAACTCTCAAGATACTTTGACAGCCCTATCATTCATAGGTCAGCTCCTTTCTAAATATTGTCCTTTATGCTAGAGTTCACCTGATGTCATGATACCCAATGTCCACTGCAGATCTGGTCTTCACTATTGGTCTGGGATGTTTTGAAAGGAAAAACTTCTGCAATGTGGTCTTAGTAATTTCTGGGTTAAACTAGTTAGTTTCAGTTGGAGATATGGATGTAAAAAGGAGACTCAAAATATTTGACTTAAATAGATGTCATTGAAACATTCTCGAGAGACCATAATGAAAAGTGCCAGTCAGGAGTTCTTGTCTTACCTGTGTACTAGGATATCTTTTGAAGTGTTGAGTCTGTATTTCAACTTCAGTTTGATTGCTAATCTAATGCTTTTTCTGCGTGAAAGAGTTTGAGTCCAAGAGTTCTGAGTATTCAGCTTTCTGTTACAGTTTTACTGAACAAGGTATATAGATCTCTGCTTTATTCAGTAAATTTTTCTATTTTCATTGTTCTGATAGCCATATGCTTTCTTATGTATTGCTATAGAAACTTAATTAAGAAGGAAAAATGACAGTAGATGCTGCAAGAGCAGTTTTCACAAGTTCACAGTGAAGTAAAATTCAAACAAACATTTAAATCAATAACATCAACAGCATTTAGGTAAGGGTAGCATACAAAGCTTCAACTTTGGCTTACAGCTAAAGAGAAAGCATATTTAAGCTATGGCTATCATAACTCTTAGTGGAAAACCAAAATTTATCTGCGTTGTTTCACTTTATGCTGAAAAATTGAACCATCTCTTTTTTTTTTTTTTTTTTCCTCCAGTGATTGTAAAATATTTTCTTAGAGAAGGATCAGACCAAGCTGGGAATAAAAATTGGCTAAAAATACAAAAGTTTTTTTTTTGGAGGCAAGGAAGTGGGAGAGATTGAATGTAAGGGAAAAAATGGAACAGCTATTCTTCCTGTCAAATGCTGTATGCTTTTATTATGATTAGAAATTTTAAAAAGCAGTCACAGTGTAAACTTAGGCAAAGAATATCAGGATGATAGAATGTGCATAGAAGAGAGACTTACCTCACCAGCATCTGGGTCTTTCTCAGTGCTTTTATATATGAATATTATAATGAAAGCATACATTTTAATTGAAAATAAAATATTTTATTACTTACAATCATAATTATATCACAGTAAACTTTTCTCATCAAACACTGTTGGTTTTGAAACTTAGGTTCTTACTTGTGTTGAGAACTTTTAAGATTTTAGTGAATTAAGGAGTTTTGTTCACTTGAATTATGCTGTAATTTACATAACTCAACAATCTGTCCATCTTTTTGTGCTTTTCTATTGTGTAACTAGTCAGTCTTACTTGAACTAACCTGTTACTCTATTTAATGTTTATCACAGGCAGACTGTTACATGCTTTTGATGGGCATTTCCAGATATTTGCTCTAAAGCACCACAGCATTTACACATGCACAAAAGTCTTTGCGCATTGAAATCCTTTATTATGGTATAGAACATCATTTAGACAAATTGTTTTGACATGTGCAAGATAAGTAGGCTGAATGTGTTCAATTTGAAAAAAAAAATCATAAAATGCTTAACTGACAAAGTGCCATTTGTTCACATCACTTGGAGATCAAATTGAGACTGACATGGAATCTATGTATTCAGAACTTCAGGAATTGATGAGTTAGTACAGGAAGGTCTCATTTTCAACTCTGCCATCTTGGTTACTTTTAAAATTATTTTCTATCATTGTTCAACATTAAAACATCTGAAATTTATAAAATATTCTACCATTTATCATTTAGCAAAAATGGTGGACTTTGGTGTACTCTATCCAAGCAGTAGTCACAATTTTTTAATGAATAGACTGGTAATTTGTTTCCTCTTATTTAACATGTCTCCTGGAGTTTTAAGACTGATAGAGAAGAAAAATTTTTCTTGGCAGATTCTGCTGGGATTCTGGGACAGAATTTTTACAGATTATAGTAAAAGGGGAACTTAACAGATCCAGCACAACTGGCTAGTTTAATAGAGGTATCTTTTGTGGATTTATTAGATCACGGTTATAAGAGAGTAAATTAGTGACAACTCACTTTAATTTGAATGATGCAATATGCTTTTTATCCCTAGAAACATAAACCAGCTTATATCATTCATCTTAAATATGCAGTGTTTTTCACAATTATTTTCAAATATAATTTAAATTTGAAACTCCATCAAATATAAGACTATGTATATGTATTTATCTAAGTTTGTAGCTTGAATTATATCCATAACTATATATTTAAATTTATGTAATTTATACATAAATAAAAATATTCAGAATTACTTAATAAATTTGGTGTTGAGTTATTGACTCCAGAGGCTTATTTCCATTACCTGTGACAGAAGTGGAGTAAAGAGTTCCTTTCAGGTTTGTTTTTTTTTTTTTTTTTTTAATGTTGATTTTTTGCTTTGGGAGTCTCCAGTTAAAAAAGTAAAAGAAAGAGGTTTTTATTTTAAGAATTTTAGTAAAAACTTTAAAAATGCAGTAGGTTTAAAATGGTGTACACCCAAGGAAAAGATAAGAAGTAAGCTTTTCTGGAATAGAAAATATAGTGGAATAGTGTATTCTGTGCCAAAGGCTAGACTACAACCTGATCACTTATTTTTTTAATATGTAACAAGAGAATGAGCAAGATCTGGAGTTTAAAAATGGTGTAAATAAACAGTAAGAACCTATATATTTTTTTTTTATTTCACAGACGAGTTTGCTTTCAGAAAGAGTACCCACCCCTGTAACTGGTGCAGAGTCAACTTCGTCAATAAGTCTAGAGTCAAAAAACATGTAAGTTGATGCTTAATTTAAGCACATGTACAAGTATGAACAAACCTGCTACTTTATCCACAATTGAGCCATCTTATAACCCTGTGTTTTTTGCCTAAGGCATAGTGGTAGGTAGAGGGAGTGAAGTCATCCTAGCATAGGTCTCAGTAGAGTTACAAAATTGTTCTTGACCTTTCAGGACTTTCTTGGCTTACAGAGTTGTGTCTAATCTATGTAAAATTGACTTACAGTTTATTCTCCCTGACTACAGAAGTCGGTTTGAGGAAAATGTGAATTAGAAAGCATAAAACAAAATAGCTGTCAGAGTTTATCTTATGGCTTTGACGTCGTGTTAATTTAAAATGCTGTTCTGCTGAATGGTATCTACACTTTCAAAATACTATGTAGCAAGATTGGCAGCATTCTGGCTGAAAGCCTGATACGAAAGGCATCCTTCCTTTTATACTAAAACTTAATGTTCCTTTTTAGATGCTTGTATACATTAAGATGAGAAATATACAAATATTTGTGAGCCTGAAAATTCAGGGTGATGTTGGTGTTAGTGCAGAACCTAGTTAAGTAGATTATTGTTTATACTTTGCCATAGATTTAATGTATAATTTGCAGATACCTCAACAGTTATTACTCCGGTCTGTAGTGGCAGCATGTGAACTGCTTATAGCAATTCAAGTATAGTGGTAAAAAGAAATCTAGAGATGCAGAGCTCTGACTGAGGAGGCTGTCACTAATCACTACTAATTTACATAAGGTGCAATTTCCTCCTATCTAGATTTTTCATTTAACTGTGGAAAAAGACATACTGATTTATTTCTGGGTGAAATTTTTGCTTCTGAACATGACATGGCAGGGATTCTGCAAGAGAAGTGATTAAAGTCTGGGGTAATGGTTGACTGCAATGAGAAAAGTTGCATGCTGCTTGCTGGTGATAGGAGTCAAAAATGGGAAATGCGAACTAGAGATGAGAATCCAGTAAGCAAATACTTTCAGGGAAGCAGAATCACAAGCATCTGGTGATATCTGCAGGGATGGGACCTAGTCAAATGTGATGTAATTGCTTCACTTTTATTTTTAGGGCATAGAATATTTTGTAGGGCAGAGGGTATCATACTTTATTCTTGTAATTGCTGTTCTTCCTGCCATGTCTGTAGAAAATATTTTCCATTTACAGCCATTAGTATGTGAAGCTGTTGTCTGTATATATAGCATCTTATTTTCATAATTCTGTACTAATTTCTAGCAAGAGCTTTTTCTCCTCAAAAGTTATTTTTTAATAGTTCCTCATAGGGTTTTTACATTGGTTGGAAATTCTGCACTTGCTTTGCCAATTTTTAACTGACACATTAATGCCTTAAAAGACTTGTCTAGAGTCACTAAGTACATTTAAGGATGGCATGGGTCTTTTGGGTTCCCCATTACATCATCTTTGTGTTCTGTGTTCCTACCTAACCATAGTTTTGTCAGGATGAGTTTGAATGCTTGTACAAAATGCAGTCTAATACATATTCTGACCTTCCCAAATGCTTTTTTTTAAGCTAACATAGGGTAAACATATAGAGTTCAGTGAATGGAGTAGTGTTGTTTTTCAAAGTTAGAAATTGTAGGTTTTATTTTTTCCCTTGCTTTTTTACATATATTTTTTAATTATTATTATTGCTACTCTTGCAGTTTGCTATGGGAAGAGACTTTGTTAGAGGCCTTGCTAAATTTTTCTGCCACACCCAAAGGACTGTTTCTACTTCATAGTACAGGTGCCATGAATGACTGTGTGAACTTTATGTTCAGCAGTTTATCAAAAACACTCCAGGTAAGCATTACAGAGTCTGTACATTTCTTTTTCTTTTAATGAGTTTAATGAAATAAAAAAGAAAGATAATAATTAAGGAAATTAATCCAGAAAAAATGTAGTCAATTTTTGCAAAAATGAATTTAAAATGTAGCTTATCGTCTTTGATATTGGTGCCACAGTGATTTAAGTTTGTTGGATGTTACTCATCTTCAGAATGTCAGGCATGTATTTAGGTTTTTCTGACTTCTTACTGTAAAGTTTGAAATACTAAGCAAAATATTTTTTCTTTTTTTCTCCTATGTGCAAAGTTTTTAGACCAAGTTGGTAGGTGGTGTTGAAATCTAGATATGCTACACAATACTTGAAATGTAACCAAAAATCAGATAATACGCATTTTAAGAGAAAAAACAATGTTACAGACATCTTACTGATTATGTGCAAAAAGCATTATAATACTAATGTTTTTATTCTTTGCTGATGTTGCATGTCTCAGCCACGGTATTTTGCATTTCAATTTTGTTAATATATTTGATAAAGTTGTTTGGTTTGGAATCTGGCCCTGATAAGTCTGTAGAGGATAATATCTATGAACTGTTCAAGTCTAACCACACAGTGGATTAAATTCTGTAAACAAGTACAGGAAAGATCAATACTTAAGAGATCATTTGAGAGTTTCATGCCCTCTGAATAACTAGCACTGTGCTTTTATATTTGTTACTAACAGACAAATGAGTATGAAGACTTTGGTAACAGAATGATTGTTACACAAATGGCAACAACACCAACAGGTGCAGTATCTCTACAGACTTCAGGTAAATTGAAGAATGATGTTATTATGAAGAGTTACCTACTGTAGTCTTGCATATTAGAAAAAGATTGTGAGAAAGATGTTAAAAAAGATTAACTGAGTGGAATAATACACAGTATTAGCAAAGACTGCTTGAATGTCTATTGATTTCTTCTTGATGGAAATTTATTCTTTCCAACTTTTATGTCGTTCACTTATCTCAATGCTGGGTTGTTGGGTTTTTTTTTCTTACATTATACGAAATCTTCACCTCATTGGTTTGGGTTTCCAGAAGTTTCCTGTATGTGCATAAAGACATTTATATCTGTTAAAAAAATAAGCCACTAACAATTTGCAAGTGCTTCTTATTGATCTACAGATCAAAATTAGTAACTGTTGATTTCTGTAAGTTTTATGTACTTTTACATGGTTACTAACTGCTCGAAGAGTGAGAAACTGCAAAGGCCTGCATGTCATTCTTGCTCTTATGAAATAGTGAGATAGAATTGAGATTGTCTGAATTGACAATTCTTCTCATGTCAATCAATACCACAAAGATCCCTTCTGATACATTCTCAGATAACTCAACTCTTGCCATAACATCCAGCAGTCTAGGTAGTTGTTATGTTAAAACTAGGATCTTATCAATAAAGTAAAGCTACTGTCTGAAGTTGCGAAGTCCACGAGGTACAACAGTTACAAATATTCTCTCTGAGAATAGCTAGAAGTGGCTGGTGTGTAATAAAAATGACTTGGGTGAAAGACTGTCAAAAAGGCAGGCAAATTCTTCCAGTGAAGTGACAAAAAGGCAGGCAAATTCTTCCAGTGAAGGAAACTGATTGGGATCTTTCAGAAAGCAGGGAGCAGATCTACTTGAGGAGTAACCCATCTGTCCTGTTTAAGGTTCTCAGACAAGTTGCTTCTCATGGTCCTTGGCATCAAAGGGTAAACCAGAAATAATCAGCATTGATTTTTCAACCTTGAGAGGAGGTTGTATAATGTATATGAAGTCCATATTAAGCCTGTAACTTACATTTGGAGATTTCAGAGTTAGATGGATATCTTTCCTCCCTATAACGTATATGAAGTTCATATTAAGCCTGTAACTTACATTTGGAAATTTCAGAGTTAGATGGATATCTTTCCTCCTCTATTTTAATATTTAACATTTTAAAGTCAGCTAGTAGTGCTTCTCTTAAAAAGATGTTTTCAGTCCTTTTCATGGTGGTATATTTTCATTTATTAATGACTTACAGTAAATCTGTATTTTTAAAACCACAGAGCCAGTATTAGCTAAGCTTGATCTGTAACAGATAACTTGTTAAAGAAGGACAGCGGCTCATTTACATGGAATATACATAAATATCATCCTACTCTAGTATAATAATCTTTACAAACTGTTGCTGTAGATTTTATATTGAATATAAGCAGACTGTTGTAGAAAGGTATTTTGACTTAAGGATTGAGAATAGCAGGGAGAGTAACCCTCAGGCAGTCTGTCCTGTGAAATGTTAGTCCACAAGGCAGAGAATTTTGAGAATCTCAGTTAAAATTGTGGTGTAAAATGTTTTTTAATGTGAAAATTGATTTTCTAGTATTCCTACTATTCTCATAATTAGAACAAAAATTTGTTTTAGGCTTTATAAAGGCACTTGTAACTGAATTATGGGCTCTTTTGGAGTGTGGAAAAGATGATTTCAGGATAACCCAACCCAAATCTACTCCAGTTGACCCTATTGACCAAAGCTGTAAGAAGGTGAGAAACTACATAATCTTCTGTATTGACATGGAAGGACAGTGCTGTATTTCAGATAGGATGATACATACATTTCTGTAGACTTCTATTGCAACTATACTTGCTTTTTGGCATGTGGGGCAAAATTAGTATGATATGCTAGGCAAATTATGTCTAATTGAAGTATTCTTGTGTTGCATGGCAAGTCAAAATGGCAAGAATCCATTAAAGTCAGTATAAAATAATAAATAACAATCACGACAAAAGTGAAAGTCTTAAAATACTGGCCATCAGTTCACATCTCTGATTACTATAGTAAGATCAGGGAGAGTGACATGTTTTAAAGTATGCTGTGTCGCTAGATTTTAGAATTATGTGATATGAAAATACTATAATTTTCAAAATTGCTTGTACAATTTTGTG